AATGACATTTCTGGAAAAGTACTTGTATCCTAGAACATATAAAAAGGCCTCTTACTGCTCAATAATCAGTAGTCAGACAAACCCATTTAAAAATGAGCAAGAGGTTTAAATAGACACTTCACCAACGATCTATGCATGGCAAATCAGCACACGAACAGAGGCTCAGCATCATTGGTCATTGGGAAATGCAACCTGAAGCCTCAGTGATACCACCACACACTTCACAAAATGGCTAAAATTGAAACGACTGACAACATTAAGTGCAGATGAGACTGCGGTGCAACTGGTGGGGGGAGGGGAAGCAAAATGCTATAGTCGCTTCGGAGAATGGGGTAACAGTTTCTTATAAAGTTAAACATACACTTTTTGTGTCATTCAGCAGCCTTACCCCTAAGTACATACCAAAAAATATGAAAAATATATGTCAGCACAAAGACCTGCTTTCCAGAAACTGGAAACAATCCAGGCCCCTCCCTTAGCTGGTGAATGGATAAACAAATGGTGGTATATCCATGCAGTCAATGGAATACTACTCAGCAGTCTAAAGGAATGAGATAGTAATGCTTACAGAACCAGCGATGAATCTCAAAAGCACTTTGCCAAGTGAAAGAAGCCGGATACAATCGGCCACACGATATGATTCCATGTCCGTGACTAGTGGCCTACAGTGACTGCTGGGGGTGGGGGGTGCAGGTTCTATATTGTGTTTCAACTGTTTTGTTTTGTTAAAATTCGTCTAACTGAACATTTGAAAAGGGTAACTACAGCTTTATAATTTTATTGTGTATAAAATATACCTCAATGAACCTGACCTTTTAAAATAATCTGGAGAAAAATAAACTTAAAAAATAATTTTTAAAAACACACAGGAGTTGATTTTTCAGAGGAAGGGTGAAGTCAGTGTAAACGGGGCAGTGAACACTCCAGAACAGGAACAGGATTCTAGACTCCTGAGGTCAGGCTTGAGGCTTCAGAGCCATCCCCAGGGAGTGGTGCGTCATCAGTAAGGGGTCTCTCGGGTGAGTGACAGTGGGGCATGGACCCCGAGGAGCCCTCACATCACCGGGAAAGAAGGAAGAGAAGACGATAAAGAAATCAAGTTGCACCATCATGCATGTTATTAGTAGATAATACAGGACAAATATGTGGAACAAAGTTCCTCTCCCTGGAAGCTACCACTGATACCAGTTCTGTGTGTCCCTCTGGAACTATTCTGTGCAGTCTCTGAGCTTTGTTTTGTTTTTTCCCCCCACTTGTCGCAGTTTCTTTCAGATCGTCCCATCAGTATATGTAGAGCTGCCCTAATTTTTTTAATAGGTGTGGTACTGCATGAATCTACCATAATTTCTTTGGCCACCCTGCAATAGCTAGACACTTAGATCTTTTCTGATACATTTGCAATCGTGAACAATGCTTCTGTGAACACTTGAATTAAGAAGTTATTTCTCATTAGTGTGAGTATATCTGTTGGATAGGTTTCTCAGAGTGGAATGGCCAGGTCAAAGGATATGGACGTTTTTAATTTTGATACATATTTTTGACCCTGTCCCCACCCTGACTTATACCAGCTTACCCTCCCACTGGCCATGCATGAATAATCGTGCCTGTTTTCCCGAGTCCAGGCCAGCAAAACAAGAAGTCCATCTTTGCCTTTGCCAATCTGATAGGCAAAAAAAAACACAACAACACGGAAAAATGGTGTCTTGTAGGAAGTTCCATTTGCATCTGCGGGGGGGAATTTTGGGAAGCAGAGGAACGCCAGGGCACTCGCGCCAGCTGCTTCAGCCTCTCGGTCCGCCCAGCCCAGACAGTGCCTCTGCGTGAATTAGAAAAAGGCCTCTTCTTCCAGACGCTCGACTGCCATCTGCTAGAAAACTGCTGTGAAAACTGCACAAATCTGTGCCTCCTCTTGAGGGGAAGAGCGCCCCAGGGGTGTGCAGGACCTGCCCACGTCACCGCACGGGCCGAGGGAGCCAGCGGAGGTTCTGAGAGCACAGTGGTCCCTGGGTGGGAACCAGAGCGCCTGGAATTCACGCAGCAGACCGACAGACATGTGACAGGAACTCGGGCTGTTTGACAGCCGAGCACGGGAGCATCAGCTGGAGGGACAGCAGAGCACGTGGAAGCTCCATCATCTGTGGATTGTGCGCTTGGAACTTGGGTCCCAGGCAACTCTGATGTTCGTAATTTGGCCAGCGGGCTCATTAAGCTCTTAAGAAAAGTGAGTCTAGTTCATGAATTAATGCAAGCTGACATTTTACACACGCAGCAAAAACGAGACCAAGCACCTCTGCATTATGTAGCATCATAATTTCTCGAGCAAATGGGATTGCCGCCTATTGCCCGCTCCACGGGCAGATCTGGGGAGGGCCTGCTTTGGGAGACGTCAGTGAGGCCGTTAGGACCCACAGGCATTTTACACCCCACCCACCCCTGTTTGAAGGAGCTCTCTTGTATTCCTCAAGCCACACGTGGTCACACAAAAGTCATTATTTTAAATCTGGACCCATTTGTTTTCCGTGTGAAAACCTAGCCCTTTCAAACTCTTTTAAGAACCATCTGTCCCTGGGAAGGAAACGACTCCATCCTTGCTGTGTCTTCCACTTTACCCCGCAAAGCAGGCCCTTGCAGCCCCGTGTCTGGTCCAGAGAAGCTGCTGCGGGTGATGAAAGGAACGTGGACACTGAGAAGCAGCGTTAACTCGATTGGGAATGAGAAAGTTGGGAGGCGGATGGTGGGGACGTTTGTATCACAGTGTGAATGTGCCTAATGCCATGGAACGGTAGCCTTCAAAGTGGTTAAAAGGGTAAATTTTATGATATATATATATATATTTTTTTTTTTTTTTCAACAATAA